CCCCAAAACCCCAAAACCCCAAAACCCCAAAACCCCGAGATAAAAGATATCGACAGAATTAAATTTTATATTAAAATGGCAACAATTTATACCAAATGTCTTTTGGCTATGTTAGTGATTGGAATGGCATATTGTAGTAAAGGAAGTATGAATCATTTCAAAACCAATCCAAACTTGGATCTGTCAAGTTGGGTAAATAAAACTGAGAGAAATGTAAATATTATAGAAAAATAAAAAGATGATAAATGTATACTCTCGTTAACAATCGAGATTCGTCTGGTTTCTTCATAAAGATCCTTAGTAAACTTTGTGTTTACATTGGGTCTAACTGCTCAAATAGGAAGTCAACTGGTCAAAATATGGAATCTGGTGCTCAGAATGTGAGGTTTGACTATTCCAATTGTGGCTCTAAATTACACTCAGTGTCTTAAAAATAGACATTTTGAATATAGAGCACTGCAAAAATACAACCTGCCGTTTAGTGAACTTTTAGAGTTCTCAAATGATTTGGTGTCAGCAATTTTGGCTTACTTTGATTGTGACAGTCTGACCTGATTAACTCCTGCATACGTATTGACCAAGTATTTTAGCGAATTCAGGTATTTTTCTAAGAGTTTAAGGACTGAGCTTGAGTATGGGTATCAAGAGCTTGTAGGGAAATATATCAAGAAAGAATTTGGAGTTTTTAACAAGATCATTGCTACTGAAGGGATAAATAATTTAAGAAAGAAATCAGACTGCATTCGCATGAGGATTGGCCAGTATTTCATGCCTACATTTGTTGGCAATGACACCTCCAATTGCTCAAAGTATGATGAAATTATCCACAGTTTCTCTGATCAGCCTGTAGATCCAGGCATCGATTGGACATCTCTCTGCGTTAAACTCACCATCACTCTGGCTCTTGCTTTCTTGAATTATCTCTGTTTTAAACTAATTCTCCAAGAATGGGAGAAAACCCAAGAACTATATCAGTTACAATTTAACGGAATACCTCTGTCACAAATTGAAAAAGGCGCTTTGTCAGATGAAAACTCTTCAAATCCGCATCAACCTCTAGAAGAAAGTAGGGAAATCACTAAGACACAGTCAAGGGAAGATAATGAAGAATTCAACTTTTATATGTATTTCGCACAGTTCAGACGTGCTACTCCAAATAATGCTTGTCTTCCTCCTTCTGATGGTGCTTCCTAAAATAAATTTAGTAAGACTCAAATTTGGCTATATTTCAATGCTTCAATCCTTGGTTCATTACGTGGGGTTTTGGGGTTTTGGGGTTTTGGGGTTTTGGGGTTTTGGGG